ATGATTGGGATCTCTCATTGAAGCTTGCTTGTATGGATAAATTATTCTGTGCAGAGGCTGGACGTAGCTCTACGTTCGGAGGTGAATCAGGTGCATCCACATCAGCAGTACCGAGCTGCGGTACACAGCGAAGAGGTGATGTGGTGCATTCTGATTGGCCTCTAGACGACATTTGACATCTGCACAGAATAATTAATCGCTTGTGTGGGTCCTCTTCCTTATATGCAATTAGCATATTTTAACATTATTTTTTTAAAATATAAACTAGATTCAATTTTTAGTAATTATTTTTTAGTAATTTTTAATATAATAGAAGAAAATGTAGACCAAATTTTTTTTAACATATTTAAATTAATTAAGATAAATTAATACATTCACCACATATTAAAATTTCAAATTCAAAATCTACCCACTAACATGTCAAGATGAACTTTGGCCCTCCCTCATCTTATGCTCCTCTTCCTCCATTGTATCGCTGATCGTACGCCCCCTCGTTTCTGGTAAGAACACAGCAAACAACCCACAGAAAATGATAACTATCCCAAACACCCCAAAAGAAAGAAACTTTGTCTTCCTCCCTGCCACCGCCATCGCCGGCGCCACCACCCCACCGAGCACCAACGCCTGCCTCATCACCGCCAGCGTCGAGTTTCTTACACACGTTGGAAACAGTTCCACACTATAAATCATATGCACACTAATTGCCGTAAAAACGCCGAAGAATGCAACTAACTCCACCACCACAGCGATCCATCCGCCTATTGCTGTACAAGCAAGGCTACAGCCGCCGCTCACAACCATCAGCCCGACCAAGGATTTCCGTCGACTCACCACATTTGCGAGGAAGAAGACGACAAATTCCGATAGAAGCTCTGTTGCCGCATTCAGTGCCACACTAATGTATAAGCTAGCATTAAGATTGCTGAGATTGAGCGGCATTCCGTAGTACATCATTCCGATGCCAAAGCTCACTATCATAACTGTTCCCAACCGGCGGAGAGCCCACCGTTTCTCCCATAATATCCTCGCCGCCGAGAACAGATCATGTGATTCTGTTTTGTCAGAGGACGTCAATGCAAAGTCAGGGAAGCTCAATGTTTCTGTTAAACGTGAGAGCTGTTGCAGTGTTTTAATGGCTTCTTTTCTCTTGCCTTTTAAAAGAAGCCAACGAGGGGACTCTTTCATGATTAAATGGAGAATAATGCTGTAAAAGAGTGAGGGGATTGAAGTGTAGAGATAGAGCAGTCTCCAGGAGTTTCCTCTGTTTAGGAAGGCTATGAGGGGAAGGGTGACGAAGCCGGTGGTGGAGAAGATGAAGGTGAGGATGCTGACGAGCTTGCGGTGGCGGCGGGAGACGAGTTCAGACGAAAGGACAAAAGCGGAGGTGCCAACGTTGGCACGAGCAAAGCCGCAGGCGAAGCGAAGGGCGGCGTAGACGGCGAGGTTGGGAGAGAAGGCGGTAAGGGCGGCAGTGAGAGACATGGTCAAGGAAGAGAAAACGAGTGTCTTTTTGCGGCCGAGGCGGGAGTCCGCGAGGGTGGCGAGGGAGAGGCCGCCGACGAGACAGCCAGCGTAGAATGAAGAGGCGGGGAGGGCGACGAGAACAGGAGAGGCGCACTCGAGGGAGAAGTCAGAAATGGTGGAGATTTTGCGGTGTTGGGAGAAGGACCAGGAGGTGGATGGGAGGTTGCATGGTGTGGTGACATTGCAAGTGGAGGAGGTGCAGTGCCATGGCGGTGGATTATCGGAGAAGACATTGATGAAGGTTTGATGGGAGTCAAAGATCCAGGCGAGGCAGACCAGGATGGGGAAGAGGAGGCTGCCGGTGGATGCAGACAAGTAGCATTCGACGATGTCGTCGATGGAGTTAACTGCGGTGGTTTTATTTGAATTTTGGTTTATGTCGACAGTGTGGTCGTTGGCAATTTCGCCGGCGGAAGGCGGCGCAGATGGAGGAGCATTGGCCATCTGGCTCTATTTGTGAAGATCAGAAGATGCGAGACTCATACAGAAAGCAGGCTGCTTTTATAAAGAAAACAAATCCTATCAACTATTTCATGATAACTTATTAATTCATTGGGTCGCTTTTCATAGCTTTTTTAGATTTATTCTACAAATAGTTGTACAGAACTACAGATGCTTTCTGATTCTACCAAAATTGTTCCATATAATCTTTCCAAGCAAAATTATATCGAGAGAAATTCTCCAGAGATGAGTTTTTGAAGAAACTACTCAGTGAAGATCGATACCAGACGGTCTGGAGACTAATTAGAACATGTCATATTATTCGGTACTGAGCACCGATATCGAGAAAAAAATAATATGACGCATTCTGATTGGTCTCCGAACGCCATCCGGATCCACACATAATAATAATTTTTTAGGTTTGTGATAGCTTTCTAGTTATTTTACTTTTCAACATGAGCCACTATTTCGATCGCCGCTTTTTAATTGTTTCTAGCATCTCTTTAGAAATTTATGTACTAAAAAACTATTTTTAACAATTAGAGAAAACTATTTTTACAACCCGATACAACTTTCATTATTTTAATTTTATAATAGAAATAAAAATTTCGTTCGACTACTATTTTCTCAAACTTCTTAGAAATTTATATAGTGAAAAGCTAGTTTTTATAACTAGAGTAGTAAAGTTACTTGGGTAGATTTTTAAAATAAATATCATTAAGAATTTAATTAACTATTAAACCACCAAAATAAATAAATTTAAAACTAGGCAAAGTCGCCCATTGAATGGGCGACTTGCTCAAGTTATAAAATCTTTAAGAAAACATTTCAGGAGGAGAAATAAAATAGAAATAAATTAAAAGATAGAGAGAAATAAAGAATGAGAGATAAATACAAAAATTCAAAACGATTCTTTTTTTATTCACGGTGTCTTCGAGATGAGGTACATCAAATTTTTTTATTTTTTATTAAAATCTTAAATGCAAATATTTTTTTCTTATTTTTAAAAAAATTTAAATAAAATATTTTTTATGAGTTAATATGTATTAAAAATTAAATATTCAATCTCTCCAAATGACCGTTTCTTGGATATGGTGCCTCTCATATATGATATAAGATGAAGAAATGAACTTTTCTTTTAACTTATATAGTAAAGAGAACTTATTGGCTTTAATAAGCTCTGAGATAATTAAATCATTAGAAATTTTTTTAATCATTATCATCAAGGATTATTTAAATTATAATTTAATCATGAAAATGCTAGGATAACTTTATACTTGCAAAACTTGCATCATTTAACTTTTTGCATGTTATAGTTATGATAATTTTTAATATATGGGTATGTTTCTGGGAAATTTTTATTGGGTAGTTTGAAACTATGTTATTTTTTATTTTTTAAAAATAATTTTGATCCTAAAAAATATTGTCATAAGAAAATTAAAGCTTTAAAATAATATTCTAAATAATCTCTACTAATATGATAATATAATGAAATTTTGAACATTATGCTCAGTAGATCATTTTGTTGCTTGCTATTGAGACATTTTGTGAAATTGAGCAATCTATTTAATCATGTTTCTTTTACTATAATGCAATGATAAATATGCTTATAATGCTAGGTTGTGTGGATTTTAGGAGTTCAGATGTGTGGTAGAAGTAGAAGTTCTGGTGCTAAATACATAGGAAATCATAAGGGCCTTTTTTCTATTATGATAGTACTGGAGTCATAAGGGCTTGAATTTTGATGTTTGTTTCTAATGGGAGGTATAAGGGCTTAAGATAAATCTATTATTTTATGCTCTAATATGTAAAGTGCTTATTTATTTACTTTCCATACACAATCTACTTCAATATTTAAGATATCTATAATTATCATTATGCTTAGTCCAATACATTTCTTATGAACTACTTTTACATTCAGTTAAATGCTAAATAAGTAAATTGTTTAAAATTTTAGACCAGTGGGTGTGACCTTCTAAGTTGTGTTAGCTCGCACATATTCTCATCTCTTTCAAGTTAGGCGAACGGGAAAGAACCAATTGAGTAGCTGAACATTCATGATCTAATTTTTTTGAATATGTATATGTATTTCCATAATTTTTATAAAGTCATAGCTTTTTGTTTTATTTATCTATGCCGGGTCTGTGTTGTTATGTACTTTACTATAAATGCTATAATAACATTTTGATGAAATAAAACAATTATGGATAAGTTTATTTTATTTTATTTATTAAAGTTAATTAATTAGAAGCTCCATGGTATATATAAATTAATAGAAGACATTTGATTAGTCCCCCAAAACTTAGATCTTGGGCTGACCTATCTCAATTCAATACGATATGACCTATCTATCAGTGAGTCATATTGAGTTGGGTTATGATAGTTCATTTTTAATATCAGAGCAGTGATTCTTGGGGAACTGATTATAAAAATGAGCTATAAGAAATCATTTACACTCGAGTGAGGTGGTTCTGGATAATGTTTAGGTATTCATTTTTTATAATATATATCATCTATAATTAATGTAATTTTTTTATCCATAATTACTAATTTTGAGTTAATTAATAATTATGAGCATTAGAATGTTTAATGTCGTAGAAAGTAACTAAGATTTGGAGTTTGAAAAGTGAAACCCGAAGATTGAGAATTTGCTTTATAAGTACCGTAACACTAGGGACGATGGTGCCTCGACATTGAGTTATCATATTTTTAGATAGAAAAATAGATTTAGGTGTGCACTGTGGCACTAAGGATGCACTGCCAT